AACGCGAGAGTAAAACTGTGAAACGTTCTCTTCATGCTCCGTAAATTCCATCTTGATTAGAACTCTTAAAAGGTGAGGACCTGTATAACAATAGAGAAAAAGACAGCGTTAGTGCAATTGATACTTGTGTTTTTCCTTGCGAACACTATTCGAGTGACGAAAATAATCAAACTGCATTGGTTTTGTTTTTATTCGCACTGTAATTTGTCTAAAAAATCTCGCGCCACTCTCAACCAATCAGATCGACGCTTGCTAAAACCAATCATCACTTGGTCGCCCACGTTTTCCCGCGCTTTTAGCAGTTTGCTCGGTTGTACTTTGAGTTCTAATTGATTCTTAAGGCGTTTGTTTTTCTTCCTTCTGATTGGTAGTTTTTAGTTTTACGACACTCAATCATAAAGCTCTCTAACCAGTAAGGTGCGTAATCACTTGAAATTTAGTATACAACTTTCATAAGGGTAAGAATTTATAAAGGAACAAATGCTTAAAAATTGCCTTCATCTTTAACTTATTGAAACGTCAGACAAACTACTAACGTTTAGTTGCTGAATATTACATGTGTGGCGCTGCGACGAAGCGTTTGTCATTAAAAAAGCTGAAAGGGGGTTTGGTTGATTTGAGACAGTAACGGCGCCTTGTAACCCATACGCGCAAAGCTTTATCATGATGTAAAGCTGTTTGGTTAAACACTTCTTGAAATTGTCAGTTTTCTCTATAGGAGCTCCTTAACCGATGTTTGTCGACATTCAAAATACAAGTTAGCGACTAATTGAATCCAATGGCGAATTCAGTTCTTCGATCTCATTTCTATTCAGTTAAACCCGGTTTAATTAAGCATATTTTGCTGGTGTGAATGGGATATAAGTTAGGTGTAAATGATTGAGACAACCAAATCTTATATGAAAACTACCTACGAAAGCAGGAAATTAAAACTATACACAGAACTTACTTTGGTTTACACACGACAAACGGCACTGTTTACTCAATTTGAGATTGACGTAGCTGAACACAACTTTTGTGGAATTGAAAGCCACTGTAAAGTGTTCATTCAAAAAGCACTAAATTGAATTTTCTAAGTCAAAAGCTCTAAATTTATACCTCTAAAACGTGTCCAACTTATCACGGAAGGTAGATACTTTGCACGTAATCGTGGCGCTCGAACAGGAAACCTTACCTTGTTAAAATCGTCTTTCGACCTCGCGAATGAAAACCCTCGGGTATTTTAAGAGCCTACCGTAAAGCCGGCAAAACTTTCCGAGCCAACATCTTTTTTCCGTTCCCCGAGGGAAGATGAACTTGGCTATGTACGTATGAGTGGCGTTCCGGCTTATGCTTCGGTTGTTTTTGTCATCGGCTCATATAATAATCCTTCTTCCAATTGCTCCTTTCAATTGGATGATTAACTTCTATTACTTGTGAGATAACTTTAACAATGAGGTTTTTCCTTTCGTGTGATGGATCTCATGACACAAAAGTGATCAAATTTTTGCAAGTACCTCTTGCATAAAACTACGTCATCGTCAATCAACTGAGAAGTAATTAGAAAATGTCCATGGTTACAAACTCAACCCCTTCAACGTCGTCACGTAATATAAATAATATTTAGTATTTTGCAATATGCACAAGAAACCACTCAAAACTATATTTTTCTTGAGATTGGAACATATTCCTTTGACAATTCGTATGTTAACTCAAGTTTTTGAGTAGGAACGACCAACGAAAAATCGAAGCCTAAAGAATAAAGAGGACACAGTCCAGTGAGGAGAAAAGCAGAAGCTTTTATAGAAAAGTTTAAGTTATGCGCTTGAATGTCAGATTTCAATCATGATCCTATCCTGGCGGCGCTAACAAAGGTGACATGAATTGAAAATAAAGCTATGCAAAGTACTATAATATAGATTTGCTGAAGATTACAGGAAGTCACACTATATACGCTGAATCATTCAATTTCCTTCTTCGTTTTACAAGTATTTTCATAAACTTGGTTTAAGCATGATCAGGACCCTCGGTATCACGGATGAATTGAAATACCAAACCTTAAACCTTAACAACGGTGTTTGGTGGTTCTTTGTGATAATACCTAAAAATAATCTTTCTGACAATTATCTACACTATTGCATCATGTCCACTGTTACAAACTTCACAAGCTCATCTCGAATACAACATTCCATTCCCCCTCAGGGGTTTCAAAGTTTGAAACTCTTGCAAAAGTC